AAATTACAGAATGCTTTGTCTTGATGAGGAAAAACGATAACTCAAAAAAGTACTGCTATCTTACTACTAAAACAAACGACAAAACAAGTTTTTACAATATCACTTACTATTTGATTATATTGCAGAAGCACTTTCTAACACTCAGAACCATGACTCTAAGGCAATGATAGTGAACCTTTCAGAGCTTTCAACGATACAAATAGCGCACTGTGGCACTCATACCACAAGTTCACCACCACTGCTCTAGTACAACCTGCTATAAGGGCAAAATAAAAGTGTTATTTGAAAGGAGGCATGAGTATCATTACCTGCAAATGATTATAGAACTAGGAAATGCACAAGAATAAACTGCAATGTTCTCAGAATACAAACCAGCTCCAAAATAAATGTACAAAATCAACAATCACCTAAGATCAGTAACAGCCAATTTGATAAACAGATCAGAAAAACAATTCCTAGAAACACAGATCACTCTATAGCTGGCTGTTCTTGCCAAAGAAACAGAATGCAACATGATCTGATGATGCATTTTAATTCTAAGGATGTAGCTTCAGGTTTACCAGGACTAGATGGTATGTTCAACATACATACTCAACAACAGTTTTTCTTTAAGTTCCACTACAGTGTTAAAAAAAAAAAAAAAAACCTTTAAGTAACTTCTGTATAAACGTAGTGTGGTACTGTGAGTTTATCACCAATGTGGGAAGCAGACGGTCAAGCCGCAAGGGTTCAGCAACCTCTGGGCACCTATGCTGCACCAGCAGAGCAAAGCCAAGCGCTCCAGTCCACCGGACCGTGAGCTCGAGGGTGGCCAGCTAAAATAAGGTTAGTAATAGTGGTCTGGGAAGATCTTACATTCATGGCTTATCACTGGGACAAAATACCTGACCCCTGCTTACTCTGGTTCATGTTTCAGGTCACAGTTAGCTGTCTCCAAAGCAAAATGGCTTGGCCTGGCCTAGAGTCCTGGAGGAGAGACTGGCTCACACCTTGGTGTCTGGGGGCAGAGTGAAGGGAGAAGCTGAGAGCAAAACAGGCCCTTCCATGCCCCAGTGACCCCTTCTGACCCGTGTCTACCTTCTAAACTGCAAGTCCACTATAAGCCCCAAAATCCAGTCTCTTTCCAGAAGCTTCCCCTATGAGCCCACAAGGCTATTGAGGGTTCTCTAGAGATGAAGCACATCAGTATTTGTAGGGTTTCCCCCTTGCTCATTATTTGCTTTTTAATTCGTTTTAGTTTTCCAAATAATAAGATACTCAAGTTAAAAATTAACATCGGCAAAGTACCAGAACAGACAACTCCCAATAAGAAAACACACACACAGACACACACAAAAAAAATAATTAACTAATTTCACTAGTCATCAACATAAATAAATGAATAAATGTCAATTCTTACAGAAAATGAGGAAAGATGGACTAAACACGAAGTGCTGATATACCATATGGATACAATGGCTAAGGGAACGTGTCACAGAACCAGCAATGTGGCAGCAAGCCTTAGAGTCATAAAAAAAAAGCTCACCTCTGCTCAGGAATGTTAGTTACTGCTATGAATCCCACCTGTGCAGTCAGAGGAACTCCGTCTTTCAGGAAAGAGCATTTACCTCAGCTCTGCCTGTGTATAGATGGTTAGGTTACTGAGCTGAGCTACATCTTTCTGCAGACTCTGCTGGTCTTCCATTATTTGGCTTATGCCAACTCTAGAGTATGCATGTTACACTTATGGAAAGGATGAAGGAATCAGGTAATTAAGCTCACTTACACAGAAAGCAGTCAATTTGAAGTTTACAACCAGAGTTTAACACCAAATAGCCTGGCATGGTGCTACATGCATGTAATCCCAGCACTCTGGGAGGCTGAGGCAGGAGGATCAAAAGTTTGAGCTCAGTCTTGACAACTTAGCAAGGCCCTGGCCAAAAAAAAAAAAAAAAAAAAGAACTAGGGTGCAGTTCAGTGGCAGAGTACTTGCCTAGCACACCAGAACTCCTGGATTCAATAGGAATAGAGAGGGTGCAAACCAAACCACACAGAACTAGTGCAATAAACTCGGATATATTTCTTATTAAAATCCTTATTTTAGATTTAAGGGCAGAACAAATATTTGTGATATACTATTAACTAGAAGGGCAATATTCCAAATACACAGAAAAGTAAAATGTCAATTTTGCTTCAAAGCATGTTGATTCAAGGTCCAATGCTGGGATTACAGGTGTGAGTGCTACACACCACCTGAGAGTTGGGAGCCTACCTACAATACAAGAGACAGAAAGAGTCTTCTCGGTGCTCTCTTTTTGCTTTTGCTGTCTTCTAGCCACCATGAACTGTTGCCCTCTGCCATGAGCCACCCTGCCTTGTAGCCAAATAATTATGGACTGAAACCTTTCCCTCTTTAATTTGAGGCATTGGGTATTTTGTCTCAGCAATGAGAGAAAACTAATAAAGACAGGGACATATCAATAACTGCACATTAATGCATTCTTAAAGATTTTGTTACTGGGATAAATGAAGAAACTACATTGATAGGGCTTAATGGTAATTCTATTTATATATGCTTGTCTTTTTGTTTTGTTTTGTTTTTGTCTTTTTCATTTGAGACAGGGTCTCACTATGCAGTTCAGGATGGCCTTGAATTCACTTCGGAGCCCAGGCTGTCCTGGAACTCGCAGAGATCCTCCTGGGTCAGCCTCCCAAGTGGTGCGCCACCATGCCTGGCCCTAAGGATAATTTAAAGTATGCAATGGAAACAGGGAAGATCAGGAATGACATTACCACCACAGCAGCAGACAGCACTCCTGGTGGTACGACCAACTTCACACAAATGAAGTTTCCCCTCCCATAGCACAACAGGGATAACTAACCTTACAGAATTTGGCTGGTAGCCCATTTAACAGAAATTTAGCTAGCACATAAAAAAAAGATTAGTAAGGGAAAAACTAGTCAAATCCCAGTAAACTCGCAGAATTACTGGAATCCTGAAAGCATTTTGAGAATGAATGAATTCTAATTAGTCAGTAGAGTCTCAAGGATTTCAGAAAACATTAAGTCCTGAAGCCCTGTATTTCTGTAGTTTTATTCAGCAGTTTTAACAGTTCCTTGCAAGGCAAACTGGACTTGCATGGCTAGAAGGCCTCTTTTGAGCAAAAAAAAGAGTATTTTTTTTTAAATTGCTCTTTGGATGTGTCTGCTTAGGGAGGCAAAGAGTGGGCAAATAAGACATTGCCTTTGTTATTATAAAGTATAAAATTACAAGCTGTTTAACATTTCCAAAGAATCTGGCTAAAACACTTTCTAGGAACAAAACAACTTTAGAAAGCTTGATAAATGGCATTTTTCTTTCTTCCACAAACTATCAAGAGTTTTTCCTCTTTTTTTTTGGCATAGCTGTAGACTGTCGCTTTTCAAAATGCTTACCTATGTCACAGGACTTTAATAAATGAATGTCCAACGTGGTTGCATGTATCACAAAAACGGCATTAATAAATAATTCTCTAGGTATCTTAGCAAGACAACGTGGAACTGGAAAGCTCACCTTTACCTGAGCAGAGAGGCAAAGCCCTGTAAAGAGTGATTTAAAATCTTCTGAAAGCAAGAACTCCATTTAGAAACCCAGCGGTAAGAGGACCCTCCCACTTCCCCTGAGACCCGTTGCTATGGGAACCCACAGTAACCCTTTAGATTCTGCACCTGAAGCCATCAGGAGAGGCTCCCTAAGGCTGCGGAGCAGGGAAAAAGGGAAACAAAGGGCAGCGTTATAGTAGGGCAGTAGAGCAAGGATTTAATGGAGAAACCTTACAGCAGAGGCGAGGGGTCAAAAAGCATCGTCCTAAACAGGAATTCAAAACGCCGTTTAGAACAAAATTCTATGTTGCCAGAGGCAGATTATAGTTCAGCTAAAGTTTGTACCACTATAGGCACTTCCCTCCAAAGTGGGAAACAAACCACTCTTTGGTCCAGGGAAAAGAAACTCCAGTTCCAACCCATCAGTTACAAACTGTATGCAAACTTAGCAAAACTAAAGACTGTCTTTATACTAAACCAATGGTTCCCAAACTCTACAGCACGCTGGAACTACCTGGGGGATCTTAAAGACGCAATTGTTTTAATTGGTCTGGGATGCAATATCGGCATGCTGAGTTTTATAACTCCACAGCGATTCCGCAGGGCAGCCAAATTTGGGAACTCCTGTATTACAGGACTTGGCGAGGTGGCAGGCAGTTATTTTAGCAATAAGCACAGTGATCTCCCTTGGCCTTTTTAAAAACTAATAACAGAAATCTGCTGGTTTTCTAGAAACACACACAGGACAATAGGGTGCTTGATAAATAGGAATCCCCAGCACGCCTCAACAACACTTTGAGATGAAAAAAGCTAGTGTTCCCAACAGAGGGAACAGCCCTCTAATCCAGACTCAAACTTCTGCAGCTATTTTAAGAGCGAAGCAGCCCTGGGTGCCGGACTTGGAGGGCGCGCTCCTGTCCCCCAACGGTCCGACCCCAGCACCCCAGCCTCAAGGCAGCGCTGCTGGGGCCGCGGTGCTCCGCTGGGGTGCAGGTGCGGGGCCCGCCCTGCGCCCCGCCCGCGGCGCCCAGGAAAGTTACTTGGGAAGTTTGCCCCAGGCCAGCGCGGGTCGAGGGGCGCACCCGCCACCACCTGCAGGGCTCCAGGCGACCGACCGCGCCCCGGCCTCCGCCTTGGGACCCGTGCCCGGGCGCCTCAGGCCACATGCCGCGCGGCTAGCTGGCCTCGCCCTCCCGAGTCCCGCACGGCGGCCGGCCTCAGGCTCGACCCCGGGCCCGGCGCGACCCCCGTCGGGAGCGCGCCGCTCGGCCCGCGCCGCTGGAGCCCGGGCGGGGTCCCCGGAGTCTCGGCCCCAGACCCCCGAGGTCGACGCTGACCCGCGGCCCCCGGCCCACTCCGCCGAGCTCGGTCACTCCGGCTGGCGCGCGCCCCTGCCCGGACGGTCTGACGCTGCGCACGCGCGAAGGCGCTGCACTCACCGCCTGCGCTCCACGTCGCCCCGGGCGCCGCCGCCGCTGCACGCCTCGGCTCGGCGCCCGTTCCACAGGCCCCGGCCCTGGCACCCTCGGTTCTTGCGCCCCGCGGGCTAGGCGGGAACCCGCACGCAGGGCACGCTCCCTGGGACCGCGCCCGCGAGCCCGCGAGCCCGAGCGCCGGGAGGAGCGGGGTGGGGCGCCCGGAGGCGGCCCTGGATACAGAGCATGCGCAGTGCCCGCTTCTTCCCGGGTTGACCTAGGAGTGGGCGGGGCTTTTGGATCGGTGCTGGGAAGGCAGGTGCATAGGGACCAGCTAGGGATCCCGCCTTGCTGGAGGTTGCTTCGCCTTAGCCCACAGATCAGTTTTACAATCCAGTTCACTTATCTGTAATTAATAAGGGACAGATGCATTTGACTTTGGAACTGTTTTTCAGAGACTGATTCCAGTCTTTATAAGTAGTTAAGAGTGCACACACAGATCACCCAGTACCTAAAAGCTGCGAAACCTCAACTGGCCTGCTAAGCGAACTGGGGAAGGAGAAGGGCTCCTTCAGCAAGGCTTGGTTGAGAAACAAGAGGAAGCATAGGCAAAGCTGGATTCAAGATAAATTCACAGCAGTGCAAGGGGCAAAACTCAAAATCTGACTATTACTCACAATGCAGGATTAAAAGGGCAGCTGGGAGGGTGGTTAAAACTCATCTGGAAGTAATCTTGAACACTAATCCCAAAACTTTGGCTTTACAATAGGGCACAGGCCTGCAGAATTCGGAACAAAAAGGAATACTGGAGAATTAAAATTCTATAGTATGTATTCCTCTAAAGAAGTAGTAAAATTTTAAATTTAGGTGCTGGCATCAGGAATGGAAAGGATGGAACTGCCCCAGAGACTGTGAAGGACCAGATGACTCCTGGCTTTTGCAATTGCTTTTTTGAGAGTAGTACTATCTGTCATGACAGGCACCTGCCTCGTTAGTAGACCATTACTCTTGATAAATGTTGATCAGTAGATAAATGAAAGCCATAAAACATACAGCCACGGTCACTAAATGCTTCTTTCAAGGTGTATTTGGCTCTGGGATAACATGTTTCTACTTAATTGAAAAATCATTAATTTGAAAGACAGTATGCATGGGGGAAAACTTGAACATTGGCAAATAAAGGCACTTTTATGATATAGATGCTCCATAAGAACCTGCTAATGTCCAGATAACTTGATATCGCTGAGACTTACTGTGCTCATCTCTAATATGGACTCACGATGTTTACCTTGTGTAATGGTCAGTTTTCTATCAGCTTGGCTAGGCCGTGAGACCCAGGTGATGAAACATTATTCTAGACGTTTCAGTGAAGATATGTTTCAGATGACATTAAAATGTATAGCAGTAAACTTTGAGAAAAAATATTATCTTGCATAATGTGTGTGGGACTCACCAGAAAGCTTTAATAGGAAAAAAAACCCCAAACTTTCTTAAGCAAGAAGACATTCTGCCAAAGGTTAGTCTTTAGAGTGTACTTCTTCTCCAGAACCCTAGACTGGAGATTTTGAAATTCAAGACTCTAGAATTATGTGGCCAATTCCTTAAAATAATAGAGGGGGACAGAGATATGTCTTAGAAAATCAATTTGTGGAAATTTTGTTATTTGATGTACATGCATAATTTATTTGGCGAACTTTACCAACTACACCCAGGGAGGTTATGAAGATTAAGTAATTATCATCTGAAAAACAAGCATTATAACGTTTAACTTGCCAGATTATGAACAATTAAGTGAAAGTAAATAAACTACCTAGTACATGCATAGTAGGACCTGAATAAATAACAACTGTTATTACTTGTAAATTAACACGAGGTAAAAACCAAAAGAGAGGAGAAGATATTGGCAATTTGAAAGCATTTTCTCAATTCACTGGTTAATATGTAAAGCACAGAAAAGAAAATGTCAGCATCCCTAGCTCTGACACACTAAGGAAGGTGATGAATAGGTGTATCTTAATTATTCGCAAATCTCACTAATGAGTTACTAGCTAAAGACAGAGCCTAGTACACTCCAAGACACCAAACATGCAAAGCAGATATGTGAAATCACATCTGAACATTTTATTCTAATTTAAGTTCCAGATAAGATGATTCTTCATACTGCTAGGAAGGAGAAAACTAGGAAGAGCTAACTTTTGAAATAATTGTAAATCTCACAGAGTACATGCATGGTATAGGACTCAATCAACATCACTGTTGTTACAGATCTTTTCTGGAAATGCTATGGTTTTGGGAAGTGTGCAACATTGTTAAAATATTCTGTTTGTTCCACCAATATTACAAATTGCTATATACTAGGCAATACCCCAGTGCTTGGTGAATTTATAAAATCATCTAGAAAAAATGAATAAGCATAACTATAATTTAAGGAAGAATGTGACAGATGCTCTTTTGGAACATAAAAAATTTGGAAAGTTGTGTTGCATTCAGATTTTTAACTCTGGGATTTATTCTCTTGACTAGGGCTCTGCTATGGTTGTCAACTTTGTATATTTTCATTTGATGAAAGCCAGTGAAGTACACCAGAATCTTTTAAAAATGTTTTAAGCAAAGCTGATAAATAGCAAATAAATTACCATTCTCAGTCCAGTGATTCTTTGCTTCTGAGCTTCTAGGATAATTGGAAAGAGAATGAGAAAGACCTAAAATTATTTTCCTTTTTCTTTGTTGCCTTGCTTATTTTGTTTAAAGGCTAATTTATGTTTAGATTAAAAATAAAAGTTTTCCTAATTGGAAATATATGCGTAAAACTCGCATAAAATAACAAAAAGTAGGGTTCAGGTTTACAGTGGGATGATTATCTAGCAGTTAAAGGAAGATGGCATCTTTTACCAGGTAAAGGAAGATGGCATTGTATTAGTTCCAGGACCAGTACTGGCATGCAGTGCTATGTTTCTTTGTTCTTTACAAAAGTGAATGATTTGGGGAAATGCACAACATGTTAGTAATGTTTAGATAACTATTAGGACAACTTCCCAATCTATTCATTTCATGAGTTTTGTCACAGCACCTGGGAAATACATTAATTCCAGATTAATCAAACTCTGTACTACATAAGAGGAGATGTAAAATAAGTTAAAATATTTCCCAGCACAATTTTTTAAAGAGTTCACAAATCCTATAGTGGTACTTTACAAGTTTAATCAATATGTTAGTTCTAAATGGTTTAAATTTAAAACACAATTAGCTGTAAACTATTTGTGTACATCCCTCTATGGTTTCTTTTGAGTAACGATGCAAAAAAAATCATGCACATTAGAATCATAAGTAAACATTGTCTCTTTAGTCAGTAGATAACAACAAAGTAGGTGGTTCTGACTATAAGTATATTTGGCCATGAAAATATCAAATTTCGAGAGAACATATGTAAGCACAATATTGTTTATTTTTATAGGTTCTATTTCCTTCTTTCCTTTAATATTTCATTTCCCAGTGACAAATGTGATTAAAAAACAAAATATTAAACGCATGACTTTTGAACATTTTGATTATGCCTCTAGCTCAAATCCTGCATAAAGATTACATTCATAGAATATTTAATATATTAATTTGTATATAGTCATAAAAATTAATTTTATTAATCATTTTGCTTATACAACAGCAAACATAAGAAACTCTGTAATGAACCTCCTGTAGAATATTATATCCCTTTTTTAAATACAGACACAAACTTCATGAAGTAAATTTTTATAAAATCATGTAAACACTAAAATAATTATTTCTAAACATCATATTTCTAGGTTTAGTAAGACAGTGTGGATCAGTAGTGTTTAACAGAAATGTAAACCACAAATACAAGATACAAATGCAATTTACAAACTTCTAGTAGTCAGAATTTTATAAAGTAAAACACAATAAATAAAATTATTTTTAACATATTACACGTAAGCTATCCAAATATCGCTTCAGAATTAAATGAATGTAAATCTATTACTGAGATGTTATACTTTTTTTCATACTATGTCTTTAAATCTAATATGATTTTTCTGCGGACAACTCGTCCCAACTCAGGCTCGCCACGTTTCAGTTACTTACTACCCCTGTGACTCATGGTTACCACTCTGTTCACTGCAGAGCTACCAACAATGACTGCTTGGTTTCCATGCTTGCCTGCACATTAGACTCACCCAAGGAACTTAGAAATATTTCAGAGCTGTATTTGTGTCATGGTCCCATGGTTCTTTTGTATTTGGTTTGGGTATTTTATCTTGGTATTTGGAATTTTTAAAAGTTGTTCATGTGATTCTCATGGACCGAAAAATTGGAGAGTCACTAATCATGTATTTATACTTGTAGATGTATTTTTATAGCATTTTCAAATCGTTGATATAAAATCAATGCCAAAATATAACTGCATTAATATTTAAGTATATAAGATAGATAACCATATTACTGAGTTTTTGTTGGGTCATCAAACAGAACTGTTTGCAGTTTCACTGTTTGAATGTCCACTTTATATGCTTTAATTTTGTAACTTGAACAACTATTTCTAAGATGATAATATATAATCTATTAACTTGTGATTTTCTACTGTTTTTTTTTGAAATTCTGTATTACTTGTACCCTTTTTCTGTTTTTTTTTCTTTTTCACCTTAAATAAAATTAAAAACAAAACAAAACCAAAATGTCAATGCCAATTATTCTCATATTTGCTTTACTTTATAACATCAGTATTTGAAATCATGCTGAACTATCCATTGGCACATAAAATGTGTAGTACATGTACAACACTAGTATATTTTAATGCAACTAATAATTGCTTACGTAATCCCAATACTTTGCTTAATCTACCCTTGAGTTTAAACCAGATGAGGCTTGTTGGGATTCAATGTCAGGACTCCATGTGAACTATGGAATAATGACACTTCTGTCAGGTTCTGTCAAGGAGGAAAAGCTTTTCCTTTATGCTCTTAGGCACTCTTCAATTTGGTGCTTAGAGATGTGTTATAACTTGTGTGTAAATGTCCTCCACATCTTCATGAGGTCATAGGTGGGGTTTTTTCAGAGGTAGCTGGATCTAGAAGGTGTGATGCTGGGATTAAGGCTATATGATTGTTAAATCAGTCCACTCATTGGTTTGGCACCCACCCTAAATTGGGTAGTTTAGATAGAATATAAAAAGAGACACAGAGAAGCTGCTAAGGTTACTTGGACCTGCTTCTTTCGTA